AGCAGGAATCAGGACAAACCAATTTATAGTCCCGTTTTCAAATTAAACTACTTGAGAAGAGAAAAACGTTATTGAAGACCACTTGTTCAAGTCCTAACCTAAAACATGGGCAAGACAATTCTATAGCATCGCATGCTTATATAAAATGCACACAACGCTACGTAACCCCAGCCCTACAGACCGAGTTTCCTATTGACTCTTCCTGAGATAGCTATCTAGTATGCTTTTACCCATTTTTTGTTGTTGTTGGCAACTGTTCTCAACAATGAGTACCTGGGGATATGCTAGGGAAAGCCGGCATCAAAAGGCAAGCGGGGAGCGGTTCTCCTCGTTTCCTTTTGTCCTGCAAAGTCTTCTCCTTCGCTTCCCCCGTGCACCACTAAAAGCAGCAGGTGGGCTTTCAGAGAGCTGCCTCTCCAGCACCGGCCCTGCTACCAAATTCACTCATTGCTACAGAATAATTGTGGGAGGGCAATTCATCAGCAGTTGCAAAGCTATTTGAGATGGTAGGATACAGGGTGTTCTAAAAGTGAAAAGGGCTGTTGTTCTGTCATACAAAGGAGTTTACAACCTATTCCTCAGTCAGCTCTCGGGGCCCTAATAAAGTGGCAGCAGAACAGAATACGTAGGATTGTGCTAGAGGGTGAGCGAGAAGGAATGAACAGAAGGCAACCGGGCAATTCTTGACAAAAAACTGAGGTCTCTGCTGTTAAGCACCAACCACAGTCAGTACACCCGAAAGTAAGAGCTGTGCTACCCCATTGCTCAAATTCACACTGATAATTTTACAGGTCTGGTTACGTGGGACACCGTGCTGATCCACATCTGGCTTCACATCGTAAGGACAGTTAGTGGCAATGATGAGATGTGTTGGTCTCTCCAGGACACGTAAGCAGAGGTATGTCGTTCCAGAGCACGAAGTAAAGAGTTTGCTGTAATCCCACACTGGGAATCCACAGGCACAGAGAGCCCGCTTGAACTCCGCGTGCGCCAGCTGAAGGTCACTGTAACGCTTTGGACTGGTGCTTCTGTGTATGGTGGGTGCAGGCGGTGGGGAACAAAAGGTGCAACAATATTAAAAATATACCTTCGACATCCTTCGCCCTGCCTGCGACAGGCCATCACATGTCAGAAGATGAAGTGCTCAAAATTTAAAAGAAACTTAATCCAAGCCATGTGCTTGAACACGGACTGTGCTACACTACTGGCAGCAGAGCTCCCAGTTGCTGCTCCGCTAGAAGAAAGAGGAAATCTTCTCAATCCTCTCTTCTTTCCACGCCTCACTCCAAGTCATTGTAGCAATGCTCCAGTGAGAACAAATACACACTAAACAGAAGACGGTTCACGATCATGTAAAAAACCCTCCCCCCAAAACACTGACAGACAGTTCAGGAAAAAATGATGATGATGATGATAATGAAAGGCCATTGCTGCTAGACCCAAGGCAGATGGTGTAGTCAGTGCATCTAACAGCAAGCCCAGCCTGGTGGGGTCGTCTCTTTTATGTTAATATAATCCCCGCTCCCGGCAGCAGAGGAACTTCCATCACCAGTGGATGAGGACATCATCTTTTCAATCAGGACTCTAGAAGACAAACATATATGAGTTTGTTTTGTTTTTTTTTTTAAACAAGCAGCATTGGGCCACACAGTTTTTCAGCGGTACAAAAAAGAAATAGCAATTCATTCTAGAAGGACACAAAACTCCAGAATTTTAATGACTAAACAATCAGGTTAAGGAACCTCACAGCACTGACAACAGCATTACTGCTATTACCTGGCAGCATCCAAAGACCCTGCAGCGACCGGGTAACTAACAACGCCTACTGCAACCACCTCACCTCGGGTCCAGTTTAGGACTGGGACACAGCAACAGGCCTCCTAGGTACCAACTGCCCAACCTCAAGATCAGGTGCGAATACCCAGTCTAACACCTTTCAGAAAAGGCCAAATTCTCCATCAAAGGATTGGTGCATCACAAAAGAATTTCTAGTATCTTTGCACAAGAAGTCCCACCTTCCTGGTAGAGGCCAGCGTATGAAAAAACATCCCTGGTGTTGTTCAAAGCATTTCTGTTTCCAAAAGCATGTCAGAGCTTAACCAAGGAGAGAAAAACTTCTGACCTTTCAGAATTCAGGTTCCTTTCGGGAGATTTACTTGCGAACTATTGCTGCCATTTATTATTTACTGACAGCATCTCCCCTCACCTCAAAGATGTCCGTGTCTGAAAGAGGGAATTAACTGTTGGATGTATCGCCCGTCATTCTGCCTACCTCATGGACTCATTAATATTCTTGTTTTC